TTTTTTTACGACAACTGTCTTGTCCACGACGTATTTTATTCGTTCCACTGGGGTTTAGCAAGTGTGTTTATAAAGAGACGAAAATTGTTTGGGGACTATCCCCCACATTCTAGTTGAGATGGTATAACCCAAGTGGAAAAATGACGCTTGCTACTGTTCTTGCGAGTTGCCATTCGTTCTACGAAAAATTTGAAAAACCCGAATTGAAAGCAAAGGTCAGTGCAGATTGAAAATGAGAGTAAAGAAAAAAGACTACAATGTATTGCTCACAATTGTACCTGAAGGGCGTGAGTCACTACTTAGTGGTGAAACTTCAAGAAGACTTGACCTAGTTAAGAGAGTCTACCAAATCAGCTTCTCACCAGGTACACAGTCAGTAGAAAATATTGTGGAACAATATCAGGATGTATTTAAAGGACTTGGATGTCTACCTTACACATACAAAATCCAACTGAAAGAGGATGCGACACCAGTGATTCATGCACCTCGAAGAGTTCCGGCACCACTCCGAGAAAGGCTTAAAAAGGAGTTGGACAAGATGTGTCGACTTGAAGTCATGACTAAAGTCGAAGAGCCGACTGAGTGGGTCAACTCGATGGTTTGTGTGGACAAAGGGAATAAAAACAAAGATCTGAGAATATGCATGGACCCTGGTGACTTAAACCAAAACATCAAACGCGAGCATTACCAGATTCCGAAACGAGAGGAGATTGTGAGTGAAATGGGCGGAGCCATGTACTTCTCAAAGCTTGATGCAGCACAAGGGTTCTGGCAAATAAAGCTCGAAGAGAAAAGCTCAAAGTACTGCACATTTAATACTCCGTTTGGCAGGTATAGGTTCTTGAGAATGCCATTTGGAATAATCTCAGCGTCAGAGATATTTCACAGAGCCATGGAAAATATGCTAGAATGACTTGAAGGGGTTCGCTGTTATGTGGATGATGTTGTCATATGGGGCACAACCTTACTGGAACACAATGAAAGACTGGCAAAAGTGCTACAAAGAGTACGTGAAAATGGATTGAAATGGAATCGTGCGAAATGTCAGTTTGTTGTGCAGGAGAGAACGTTTCTGGGGGATAAGTTGTCCAACAGAGGCATTCAACCAGATGAAAAGAAGATAAAAGCCATCCTCAGCATGCCTCGCCCCACAGACAAAACGGGTGTACTACAAGTCATGGGAATGATTAACTTCATTGAAAGTTTATTCTGAAACTGTCAGTGAAAACATCAGCCATGAGAGAGCTACTTCATGATGCTACAGAGTTTAAATGGACAAGTTGACATGAGCAAGAGAATTTGGAAACCTGTAGCTTCTGCTTCTAGATCCACGACCAGAACTGAAACAAAATACGCTCAAATTGAGAAAGAATGTTTGGGATTGGCTTATGGACTGGACATTTTCCATTGCTATGTGTATGGCCTTCGAACATTCACAGTTGAGACAGATCATCGCCCATTAATATCCATCATCAAGAAGAACTTGAGCAAGATGTCGCCAAGAGTCCAGCGCCTCATCATGAAAATGCAGAGGTATGATTTTGAATTAATTTACACACCAGGCAAACATCTAGTGTTCGCAGATGCGCGATCAAGAGCACCAGAGCTACACCACACAAGCTCCACTGAAAGTGATGTCGAGGCTCATGTAAACCTCACAGTGGAGTCCCTGCTGGTCTCAGATTCAAAATCAAAACAAATAAGGGAGGAAACGACGAAAGACACAGAAATGCAGATAGTGATGACACATATGAGAGAAGGCTGGCTGAGAGGGTCATTAACAAAGTATTACCACATCAGGTCAGAGCTCAGTGTTACAAATGGACTATTACTGAGGGACAAAAGGATTGTCATTCCGCACAGTATGAAGACAGACATACTGCAAAGGATACATGAAGGACATTTAGGAGTCGAGAAATGCAAGAGAAGGGCCAGGGAAGCTGTATACTGGCCAGGCATCAACAAGGAAATTGAAAATATGATTGCAAAATGTGAAACATGTCAAAAGTATGAGAGCAAGCAAGCAAGGGAACCTATGCTGATTCCAGATCTTCCCACCGCTCCTTAGAAGAAAGTTGGAACAGACTACTTGCTGGTAATTGACTACTATTCCAACTATCCCGAAATCACCTTGCTCACAAGCACAATGGACCCTTTTATAACTGCAGAGAATGGCAACAGTTCGCAATGCAGTATGGCTTTTGTCATGTAACATCTAGTCCCCTGCATGCGCAAGCCAATGGTAAAGCAGAAAAAGGTGTGCATAAAGGTGACCAAGGAACAATTCCAAGAGACTAATGATGAAACGCCAAGTGAGGATGTTGTGTCTACTCCAACTGAATCCAAAATGACTGAACTGAATGAGAATGGTTATGAACCATCGTCAGAGAATGATACCTCAACTTCACCTGTTTTAAGGAGGTCCAAGCGTAATATTAAGAAACCTGTCAGGCTTGATTTGTGAAGACGCAAATATTTACATTATTTTTGTAAAAAAAAAAAAAAGATAAAGTTGTTCATTATAAATAGTTTAAGCTAACTAAAAAAAACATTTGCATGTTTGCATATACGTATGTGGAACTACAGGTATGTTTTTCTTATAAAGAAAAGGGGATTTCTTGATATGTGACTGTGATACATATAGCCAACAGAAGGCGGTGTCGGTTTAGAGTTGATCGCATATGACGAAGCTTCCGGTAAACTCAGTTCACGGAGATCACCATTCGTGCTGGCAACAATAAAGTTGAGCTCATGCTCATTTGTTCACGAAATGATGGCTCATCATATAAAGATGAGCAACACAAATACGTGGATCAAAGTCTTCATTCACGCTTTATATTTGATTCTAACACGAAAAACAAATCCCACATTTTTTCCCCTTTGAGCGGTTGCCAAACGCCTACAAAGTCCAGCGGTGCCGTGAATTGTTGATTGATGACGTTGCCACGTGTGGTCCAGCGAAAAAAATTGTCACTGACCTCGTTGGCGAGTTTATGATGGAGGCTCCTTCAGTAGGTTTTAGGTATTCCCGACCCTTGCAATGCGTTGCGGTATAAAATAACAAATTTATTAAATTCCTCCTCTTCCTCCATTTGTATGGATTCTCCAGCAATCGTTGACATTTTAGATCGTTGAACTTGTTCACTTTACGAGAACCCGGAAGTGGGTAGAATTAATTATACTCATGTCTTTAGCCAACACCTGATAGCACTTTCCAGATACATGCCTACAGTGACGCTCAGCAAGAAGGGGCCAGCGTCAGCGAAACAATGATGAGAACAAGGATCCCGGCAGATTGTACTGCATACGCTTGTGTACAATGCTTTACGACTTCTGTAAAAACGCTTTAAGAAGCACACGCCAATATCATAATAATATTTAAAAACAATAATAATAATAATAATAATAATAATAATAATAATAATACATTGTGTTTTGTTGTTCTGTAAGCACAGTGGCCGTTTCGGCATTGTTAAACTAGTAAACCTATTAAAACTGGTTGGGACAATGACCGAGTTACGATGTATGTTCTCAATGTCCATGTCGTTGATAGGGGAGAGTCGCCCTTGCCAATATGGCCGCAACGTTGGCATGGAATTTAGGTCGGTTTCCTACATGAAGCTGTTGTGGCTGCATGGCCGTTAAGTCGCTTTCAAGTGACGTCATTGTGTCTGTGGGAAAAATTGGCGACGTGGGACCGTCAAGAAATTACATTTTCCAGGCTGACTCCTGACCACATCCCAAAAATATACTGATATCTCTCTTTTGAAAGATTAGGAGACATTTCAGTGACGAAATATTCACCCACAACAAATAAATAAATAGATAGGTAGGTAGATAGATAGGTAGATAGATAGATAAATACAAAGACGCTTTAACATTCCGTTTGCTTTAGTTGTTGACAATGGTAGTCAACTAATTACGACAGTTCAAAATTTCATCACATCTGTCATAATGGCGAAGTAGGAGACCTTTTAGTGACAAAAATTGTCACAAATTGACAAAAGTATTCAACAAAAATCAATAAAACACATTTCTCATTCTGTTTACCATAGAAGTTGAAAAGAACAGGTGATTTCTTATCTTATTTCGTAAATTTTGGGTGAATATTCTTGTCAATATATGGCAATGTTGTTCCCGCCCCTGAATCTCCAAAATGACAGGTAAAATGACACGTTGAGCTGCCATAATTAGAAGATTGCCAATGCTAACTAGAACAGGAATCAGAATGAGAAAATTTGCTTTTAATTGTTTTTGCTGACTATTTTGTGATTTAAATGTCTCCTACTTCAACATAATGGGTGATATCAGCACATTTCTGCTGTCGTAAGTTGCGGTCGACGGTTTCCATTTACTCCAACATTCAGAGAAAAATAAATCTTAATTTACTTATTAGGTTTTGTCGCCACAAACGTTACCCTGGAATATTACATTTGTAGACGGTTCCTACGACTGACATCGAACATCCGGCAACTTTTCTTTGCTACTTCCGCTTTGTATTTTTTTTTTTTTTTACTTGCGCTCCATGTTATAACAATGCCAAGACAGAAAAAGATCGACGTTTTTTTCGGGTTACGATGATAATTATCCACTAGGGCCCAGAGGCAGAAGAAATGTCAAAAAAACGGCAAGCGGAGTGGCTGAGTAACATCTCCCTTTCAGATCTTCAGGGAGGCCCAATCCATCGTTTGGGCCCGATCACTTTGTTCGTGGTAAGATGGTTTGCATTTGAAGTCGTAATAATAAGCAATAAAAGACATTACGCTGTGTACACTACAAATATATATATATATATATATATGATTCTCTCCTCTTTCATCTCAAACTGCTTCAAACAACAAAGCGTGTCCCGAA